TGTTTTTGAGCAGTGCAGAAGAGTCTGACTAGATTCTAGAGATTGGAGGGGAAAAAGAGGGGTGTTTGGGGTACTAGGTAATCCCCTGGGGTCTTAGACTCAGGGCTCTGCAGACTCACTTGGGGTGCTGGAGGAGCTCACCCAAGTGCATTGTTTTGAAGAGTTTGGTTGTGGGCCCCAGAAGGGCAAGAACTCTGCCACTGTGACCGAACCTTCTTGGTGTATACGACACACTTCACACATATTGGTCCAATGAGCTAGTAAGTTAATTCAGCAGTTTTCAGTCTTAGCATCTACTTCTATGTGACTATCTTTGGCCTAACATTTTCTTCTTGGGGATGCTACAGTCCTCTTATGTCTCCAAGAAGCCAGAATCCCTCACTATTCCCCTCCCCCACTCCGATCTATTGTACTTCCTTTACTTTTTTCCTTCACTGCCTTTTTCAGATCATGTTTTCTGAAGCTCTTTTTTTAATGGTGTTATTGAGATATAATTTATACTCCATGAAGTTCACTCTTTCAAAGTGTACAGTTCAGGGGTTCTTAGTGTAGTCACAGAGTTGTGCCACCATCACCACGATGTCATTGGTGCAGGGAACACGGAGCACCAGATGGAGTTTGTCACGAAGAGCCAGGTTCCCATCCTCGTGTCCACCTGTTATCAGCTTTGTGGTCTTTGGGAAGTTTCCGAAGCTCTCGAGGGTCTTAGTTTTCCCCAGCTGTAGGATGACTCATCATTCATAGGTTGTTGTGAGGATTAAGTGAGGCGTTGTATATAAAGATTTTACTTTCTATTGTGTCACTTAGCTTTGATCAATTGTGACCTGAAAATATTACGTAGAAAATCCCAGAAATAAACCACTAATAAGTTTTTAATAAATCTTCGAGAATATTGTTATCATTGTCCCATTTTGTTATTAGCTATTGTCGTTCATGTCTTATTGTGTCTAATTTATAAATCATGCTTTAGTATAGGCATGTATGAAGAGGAAAAAACACGGTATACTTAGGATTCGGTACTAGGCTTGGCTTCAGGCATTTACTGGAGGGGAGTCTTGTAATGTGCCCCTTGTGGATAAGGAGGGGGAACTACTGTAGCTATTCAGCAGGCCAGCTTTCCCTTGCCTCTGTGACCCCGGTACCCTTCAGCGGCTGGCCACACCAGATGGTGAGCAGGGACAGGGATGGTCCTGATCTGTGACATTAGCAAGTACCTTCCCCTGCCTCAGAATCACAGGGAGAGGGTCCTTGTGGAGTGGAGCATCTTGCCCAACAAGCCGCCCATCCACCGTGGGTATTGCCAGTTCTAGCCAAGGCATCACCCCAGACACTCCATATTCTACCAATCAGCTGTCCCCTAATTTGTTTCCTTAGTCTCAGCTTGGTGGCTTTGAGCTGTCTCTCAGAACCAAGTGCCCTACCCACTCAGTTGAACTCAACGAGTCCTGATCTTTTTATCTTCAGTGATTTCTCCTCACAAGGTAGCCCTTTTGGAGGGTCTTTAATTCTGCATTTTTTTTTTATTGCAGTCATGGAATAAGGGAGTACCTCAAAAGATTAGTGGGAAAGCAGAGTTAAAAGAGACATTTGTTTTGGTGCAAAAACTTTTGAAGTCCACACATAATTTTTTTAATAATACATATTTTCCATTAGCTTTTTGAAGAACCCCTTCCTGCCTTGCATGTTAGTTGGTAGCAGGTGAAGACTAGTGTGCTGGCAGCATTTAATACATATTTGTGGAGTGAAGGAATGCCTTTTAGCACATTGCATTTCTTTTTTTTTTACTTTATTTATTTTTATTTATTTATTTATTTTGACAGGCAGAATTAGACAGAGAGAGAGAGAAACAGAGAGAAAGGTCTTCCTTCTGTTGGTTCACCCCCCAAATGGCCGCTATGGCCGGTGCACTGCGCCAATCTGGAGCCAGGAGCCAGGTGCTTCCTCCTGATCTCCCATGTGGGTGTAGGGCCCAAGCACTTGGGCCATCCTCCACTGCACTCCCAGGCCACAGCAGAGAGCTGGACTGGAAGAAGAGCAACGGGGACAGAATCTGGCGCCCCAAATGGGACTAGAACCCGGGGTGCCGGCACCGCAAGCGGAGGATTAGCCAAGTGAGCCACGGCATCAGCCTAGTACATTGCATTTCCATCAGTGACCTAGGGGCCAGACTGAAATCTGAGGGTTTAAGTTCCCATTGTGACTCCACATCTTGAGTCCTCTTTATTCATAAGACAATGGTAAACCTATAGTTATCGGTGTTCACTTTTAAGAGTGAGATCAGAAGCCTTGCATAAGATAGCATGCTAAGTGATTGCAATATTCATGTCATCAATACTGTTTGGAGAACCTGGAAATAACTTCCATACTGATGAGAGTCTGCACATTTGGTCTGGAGCTTGTAATTCATTTTGTTTCCCATTTCTGAGTGGAGAGAGCTGACATTTTCCAGGCAGCCCTGGCTTCGGAGGGATCTAGACCCAGGGGATTTGAAGAGAATTCGTTCCCTGCATGTTACCCTGTGGCTAACGGATGGTTGGCTGGTAGAGGGTTTTGTACCAAGTCCCTGGACATGGAGGTTGGAGAGGGAGGAAGAAGAGCAGTGGAAGACATCAGTAAAAGCAAAAGAAAAGAATGGGAGCCCCAGGATTTCTTTTCATTAATGTTCAGAGCCATATATTAAAAGTCTAGACCTGATTTCTGGGGCTAGCCACTTAGAAGTAACAGTGCCTTCTCTTATAAGATATTAAGTGTAAGAGAACTTCCTCTCTTTCTCTCTCTCCGTCTCTTTCTCTCTCCCCTCTCCTTTGTAAGCTGAATACCACACCCTGAGTGTGCAGGGCTGTGTAATTCCCAAACTCAGCTCCCAGACACATGAAAGAGTCAAATCTAAGTGTTTTCCACCTCCATATTGTTGGGGTCCTAATTTAAAATGAATAAAACCCTTCAGCAGGCTCTGTGTTTCCCTAAATCAGTTTAATTTTATGCAAACATTTATCTCTTTCGCACTTTTCCACCTATCACACCATTCATGTAATAGCAACGCCTTCACGAACATTAATGTTTTCACCAGATCAGCTCTGGAGAAGGAGTGGGGGGAGGAAGGAGGAAGTCTCACATGCACAGTGTGTGTGTGAGTCTAGTTATGGGAAAACTTTCCTGAAATCCAGAACACTTGACTTGGTTTTTAGTATAGAAAGGATGTTAGTTGCTGCTGGGAGTTTTGGGGGACAGCTGTGATGTGGGGTGGGAGACTGTTATCTTGAAAGATACCCCAGTGAGAAGGGCTAGTTTTCAATATATTCTCAAAGCTTCTCTGTGCGTTGCACGTGGCCGGAGCTGACTCCGATAGGAATGTACACATAGAGCAATGTTTCCTTTTCTGTATTTGAATCCTGAATTGTCTTTACTTAAAGAAAAGCAGTTCTTCTAACGCACCCCGTTGGCTGTGGGCAGATGTTTCCCTGCACTTTTGAAAGCAGTGGCAGGTTGTGAATTTACACCCTGCGTAAAGCAAGGCCGGCCACTCTCCCCGCCCTGCCCTCCTGGAGGTAGCTCTGATGAGGACTGGATGACACCTCTGTGACTCCGAAAGGTGATGCCCGGCCACCGCCCACCCTGTGAAAGACTGAAAGAGAGACGCGAAAAGTAAATGTTGTAAAATAATGAAAAAACACTCAGCTGTTACTTCCAGATTCACGCCCAGCCTCATGCATACATTGGGGCGGGAGCATGTTGCCAAATATTTTTAGCAACATCAAAGTCGAAGAGCCTCACGTGTGGAAAATAGGAGTTGATTCTCTTTATTGTTGACTGTTTATCTTCTCATTAGGTTTTTTTTTAAAGTAAAAAAAAAATTAATTGGAGCATTCTCTAATTCTTTTGTGTGATTGTTAAAATGGAGCAGAAGGTTGTGATGAGAGCCTTTTACCCATTATCGCTTTAAAATAGAATTTTTGGAAGCATTGTTGATTCCTTCTTATTTTTGTTGGTAAATCCTGGGAAAAATGTATATCTTTTCCTTTAAAGTTCTAATTCAAGGCATGGATGTGAGAGTTCTGAAGGGACTTTGGGACTGCGGTAAAATTTCGTTGTCATAGTAACAGAAAGGGAACTAGGCCTAGCTCACCTGGGACTTTAACACTGCAAAAGCTGGATTTTTTTTTTTTTTTTTAAGGAAAAGGACTCTGCAAGTGAAATAAATGAAAAACTTATTGTATTTTGAAACAAAATTTTAGACATTAATGAGATGAATTACTGCAAAGGCTGCTTCTGCCATTTTTCTTGGTTGATGTATTTGTCTGATTCCTGATGTCCAATTTTAAAATGGCACAGATAGGTCATTTAGGAGAATATGTGCTTTAAAAGAAATATGTCTTCCCAGTGATAACCTCAGACCGTGATGCCGTGCCTTTGTTTATTCTGGATGACCTGTAGACAGTCTAGAAGGACACTCACACTTAATCATAGAAACCCCAGCCTGTATTGCACAGGCAGACTTTGGACAGTCACATACCATTTTGTGATATTTGTGTATATTGGTTGAAAATGTCAGGCCACCTCTGCATGTGAGCTGTGAAGGTGTGTGTGGCCAGGGCAGTGCCACCTATGTGAGGTAGCCCTGGGGTTGTGGGCTCAGTCCTGCCATTTCTAACCCTGGAGCAAGACTTTCTGTACAGCAGGGGTCACTGCTGTGTTTGAAGCCTTTTTCTGCAGAGTCTGTGTTGTGGAAACTCCAGAGCCCGTGTACAAACCAGAGCCCAGCTTGTGAACCACTTAACAATCCCCTACAGTGATGGAGTAGGGGTTGCTGGGCTTGCGATTGAAAACATCCAAATTTGCAAATTGCACCGGGTCAGCACTGTTCGTTCACAGGCAGGGCTGGTTGAAATTCCCCAGACCTGAAATACAATCGCTTTCAAATCAAATCTAATAGAATGCAGATATGGTCTCCCTTAAAAAATGTTTACTGAAAAATGTAACACATTGCTTTCTCTTCACAGATTCTTTTTAAAATTTTTCCTCAAGTGCAATCAGAATTGTTTGAAAACAGCAGGAAACCCAAGGGACATGAGACGGTTTCAGGTAAGGAACTCTGCAGATCTCGCCTGTTAAATAAGTCATCCTGCTTGCTTTCTCCTTCTTACTCCTTTTTCTCCCTCCACACCAAAACATCATTCAGGGATGCTGCTAACAATCCAAAAGATAGCTGTCACTGCTAGCCCTCATCTGTTAGTAGGGGTTGGGGGGGATCCTCATTTTGTAGTGTTTAGGCTTTCTGCCTCCACTGCCAAAGTCCCACAGGGAGAGACAGCGACCTGGGCTGGAGATTTGATTCCAAGCCCTCAGGCTGCCCACTGCACACACAGCTGCCCCACAGCAGGAACCGTGTTCTTGATATTCAGCCACCTTGGGATTTTTCAAAGCAGCTTCTCCATGTTTTCTGCAAGCAACAGCCCCTGTCTTCCCTTTTCCCTGGTTAACTGTTCAGTGGCTTCTCTCTGAGCCTTCTGCAAAGCAGCAGCCCAAGCAGCCGTGGTCACTTTAAGATCGCAGCATGACAACAAGACCCACGGGACAGTGACCCAGCTGCCTGGCAGTTAAATCTGCCACCGGTTTCATCAGCCTTGCCACTGATGTACTGAGGAGACAGCTAATAAAAACACGGAGCGAGGCCAAGTGTGTGGGGTGGAGCTGGGAGCAAGTGCAGCCCCTCTTGGCCCCTTTCCTTAAGCTTTGAAGGACCTGATTGAATTCACCAAGGGCCTCTCCTGCCATTCAGGCCCAAGCTAGATACACAGCACTCCCTTCTTCATAGAACAGTTAAAAATGTGTTAAACAATAGTATTTGAACTTGAGGCTTAAAAAAAATCCTCATAGCAACGCAGGAGACAGGGATTTCTAAGCCTCGTGTTTCGAGTGAGGGAAGTGAGGTTGTGGGAGGTTAGGTGACTTGCCCACAATCACAGCGAGGAAGTGGTGGAGCCAGGAGGAGCTGATGGACCACCCTCTTCCCGGTAGACCATGGTGGGCGACATGTTGCAGCCGCTAGCTTTCTGCCTTGCAGTGGCCTTCGTGACATTCTTCATCATGTTTGAACAAGGAGCAGTGCGTTTTCGTGTTGCAGTGCACTTCACAAATGATGTTGCATATTACCTAGAGAATAAAAATCCTGTTATCGATCCTTTTGTACCACTCACATTTATCAAACCACCTTGCTATGGCTGGGAGAGTTTTGTTACGCCATGCAACACGATTCCCAGGCTTCCTTAAAACCGCTGAAGCCTTCCTGTCTGTCACACAGAATCTTCCCTGGCCAGAGAATCCCAACACAAATAGAAACACAGTCAGCCTTCTTGGGGGTGGAACTGGGATGTCGTGCAGAGTGCAAAGTCACTAAGCTCAGTATTTCAAATAGAAAAAAAAGTAAATAATTTTACTCCAAAGAAGAATAAAATCCAAAAGAATCCCAAAGTGCCTTGGTGATAGGGACAAGGAACAAAAGATGTTACTTCGAATTCTTTTTTAAAAAAAAATTTATTTATTTATTTGAAAGAGTTACAGAAAGAGAGGGATAGACAGAAATCTTCCATCCCCTGGTTTACTCCTCAGATGGCTACAATGGCCAGTGCTGAGCCAGGCTGAAGCCAGGAATTAGGAACTTCTTCCAAGTCTCCCATGTGGGTGGCTGGGGCCCAACCACTTGGGCCATCTTCTGCTGCTTTCCCAGGTGCATTAGCAGGGAGCTGGATCAGAACTGGAGCAGGCACCCAACTGGGATGCCAGTGTCAAAGACAGTGACTACCCAATAAGCCACAGTGCGGCCCTGTTGGTTCAGATTCTTACCCCATCTCATTCTCCACCACTGTCAAAGAGTTTTAAATTGGAGAATCCTCCTGCAAGTGTGAGGGGGTCTCTTACAGAATGCCTGGTCTTTTGCTTTTTCTGAATCTTAGAAACACATTCACAACCAAATGCATGCTAACATTTCCTCTACTTTCTTGGTTATTTGCCAAGTCAGGTTTTCATTGTGCCTGAGTTTTTCACTGGCTTAGAATACATGTTGTTGATTTTAAAGTGAGGAGAAAGTCTGATCCTAGGTGAAAGTATTTGCTTTTGAGAAAGATAAGGGGCTGGAAAATTGTGTGCATCCTATGCTTTTTTTATTTCTTGGGTAGAGATAAAGTCAATTGGCAAGCAGTTTTTGCATTTTTACTGAGATAAAATTCATATAATACAAACTCACCATTTTAGCCATTTTTTTAGTACATTCACAATGTTGTCCAATCAGCACCACCATCTAACTCCAGAATGTTTCTGTTACCCCCAAATAAACCCCATGCCTCTCAATCCTTGTTATCCTTGTTTCTGTCCAACTGCCTGCAATCACTAACCTACTTTCTCTTTCTATGGGTTTGTCTGTTCTGGAAATTTTATGTAAATGGAATCATACAATAAGTGGCCCTTTGTTTCTTTTACTTAGCATAATGTTTTCAAGATTCACCTATGTTGTAACATGTATCACTACTTCATTCCTTTTGATGGCTGAATAATATTTTATCCTATGAATACATCATTTTGTTTATCCATTATTCAGTTAATGGACACTTGGGTTGCTTCCGCATTTTGGCTATCATAAGTAATACTACTATGAATATTTGTGTACATGGCTTTTCTTGTGAGCATATGCTTCTCATTCTCTTGGGAACGTGACTAAGAGCAGAACTCCTAGGTCACGTGGTAATTCTAACTTTAACTTTTTGAGGAACTGCCAGATTGTTTTCCACGGCAGCTGCACCATGTTCCGTCTCCACTAGTAATGCCTGAAGGGACCCATTTCTCTAATTCTGCACCAACACTTGTTGACTGTGCAGCGCTGTGTCGTGATGGTTCCCATCTGTCTATCCCTAATGAGTGAGGATGCTAAATATCTTTTCAGGTACTTAGTGCTCAATTGTGTATCTTCTTCAGAGAAATGGTCATTCAAATCCTTTGCTCATTTTTAATTGGGTGGTCTATTTAATGTTGAGTTCTAAGAGTTCTTTACATATATGGGATACTCAACCCTTATCAGCTATGTAATTTGCAAATGTTTTCTTCTATTCAGTAGATTGTAATTTTACTTTCTTCTTTTTTTTTAAAAAATTAATATTGTGTGTGTATGTATGTATGTGTGTGTGTGCCTGTGTGTGTGTGTGAAAGAGAGAGGAGGGAAGGAGGGAAAAAGACACAGAGAGAGAAAAAGAAACTGCTGGTTTACTTCCCAGATGCCCTCAATGGCCAGGTCAAAGCCAAAACCTGTGAACTTAATCCAGGTATCTCATGTGCATGGTTGGTATCCAAATACTTGAGCCATCATTCCTGCATCCCTGGATCTGCCTTAGCAGGAAGCGGGACTCAGAAGCCAGAGCCAGGCATTGAACTAGGTACTTCAACATGGAATGTAGACATCTTAACTGATCCTAACATCTAGGCCAAACACCTGCCTTTTCACTTTCTTGTTAGTGTCCTTTGATGCACAAAAGAATTTAATATACTGAACTCAGATTCTATTAGCAATGTAACCTTCAATAAAAGCTGTCTAATATGGAGAAAGCTATTATGAAGAGAAACTTGACTGTATGCTTTAACGGCCAATGAAGATTAAGCTGCAAACAAGAAATAACTCTATAGAGATAGTGGTGGGGAATGTGAGCTGACGAGATGGTAACTTAGGACTTCCTGGAACATGCTTCTCATTCCAAATGACAAAGGTGATCATCTTAGACCATACACACAATTGCTTCAACTCACTACTTTTTTTTTTTTTTTTTTTTTTTTTTTTAGATAACCAAACATCAGTTGGTTATGAAGGGCTCTTTTACGGGATTTGATATAAGCAAAATAGAAATGAAACATTTCTGATCAAATCATGAACTCAACCAAACTCTTTCTGTTCTCTCATCCTCCCTCCTGATCCTATGCCCTAAACATGGGCGGAACCTGTATTATTTTTCCCAAAACGATAAGGTGAGAAGACAATTGTTACATCAGCCATGTTTTGAGTCTGAACAAATCCTCTATTTAACTCATTCAAGTCTTAAGTATCATAGAATGTAAAACACTTATTAAAACACAATGGGCTTTAACATTTGTTTGGCCCATACCCATTTGAGAATTCGGTAACATTATAGTCTCTGTCCCAACAAAAAACCTACTTTTTATTTTTTTGTTTATTTTATTTTTTAAGATTTATTTATTTATTTTAAAGTCAGAGTTACACAAAGAGAGAAGGAGAGACAGAGAGAGAGGTCTTCCATCTACTGGTTCACTCCCCAGTTGGCAGCAATGGCCTGAGCTGCACCGATCCAAAGCCCGGAGCCAGGAGCTTCTTTCAGGTTTCCCACATGGGTGCAGGGGCCCAAGGACTTGGGCCATCTTCTTCTGCTTTCCCAGGCCGTAGCAGAGAGCTGGATTGGAAGTGGAGCAGCCGGGTCTCGAACCGGAGTCCATATGGGATGCTGGGACTGCAAGCAGTGCCTTTACCCGCTATGCCACAGCACCAGCCCCCCAAAAACCTACTTTTAAAAAACAGTTTTGCTTAAAATTGGAGGGTTTTCCAGACTCCTTGAAATATCTCTTAGCGCTCCATAACCTCTAATGTAAAGAAATAAAATTCCTCTAACACCAAAAAAGCACTCGTAATGTCACTTAAATCTTAGTGATGGGATCTGTCCACTTAGCACTTTTCCTGAGGCTCTCTCAGCCACCCTCTGGGCTCTTAAAGCCAGCTGATTCTCATTGATTTGTGTCCTTAGACTGCATCCTTGGGTCTGCAAACACAGAGCCCTGCCTCTCTCCTGGGCACCTGCCCTTGGATGATGAACAAGCACATGTTCAAAACAGAACACAATCCTTAGTCTCTGATCCAATCCCTCCTCTCTCATTGCTTAAGTGTCACTTCTTCCTTCTAAGTATCTGTAAAATCCACATCTCTCTCTGGGAAGATGGTAATGGGCCCCTGCCTCTACTCCTTCCTTGTATAGTCCATCTTCAGCACCAATGCTGGCATTGCCTTTGGAAAAGCGTCATGAATATTGGCTGAC